CTGAAGAAGTCACTTGGATGAGTGACGAAACGTTTCTCCCATTTCCAGATGAACAGAATGAACCTTTGGGGTAACTATGATGTAGAATATCAGACAAACCAATGGCAACCAATATTCCAGGCAATACATTTCTTTTTTAACACACACTCCAGGTAATGCTTTAAAGACAGCAGATTTAACTTAAAGATACTGCTCTTCTGACCTCTTGTGGCGTTCTGTGTTAAATACATAACATGTTCAATGTATACGAATAATAAGACCAAGTTTTGTTCTTTAGCATACCTTTCATAAATATCCATTCATCTATCTGTCCGTTTAATGTAGGCTTTTAATTTAAGTTAATAGAAGCAATTGTTCGATTCATTCTTGATGGTTGCTTATCAAACAATTTTCAAACTGGTTCTGCATAGAGAGTAAAGTTCAAATGTGCATAAAGTTTTGTCAAAGTCCAAGAGTTTATTACTTCAATAAAACTAACACATTTATTACTGACATGAAACTGTTGCTGGGTTTTTAGACTACTGTCAGCTGATGCTTGACTTTTTTGTTCTCTTATACTGATGAAAACTGGTGTATCAATATTAACAATCAGCTGAAGCATCAAATATTTTATTCTGGCCATTAATCTGCTCCTGTATAATTTAACTGTCTCATTATCCAATCACATAATGATATGATAATCTTCTTAAGTTCAAGTCAAGCATCAGAACAGGGAAGAAAGGTGAATGAAGTTACTCTAAACACAAAGTGGTCTAAAATTGCTGAGGAACATCGCCAGATTGAGTCAACTGGAAGGCAAAAGAAACTCAAATAAGTACTCATTACAAGTAAAGTATGCAGAATAGCATCTCTTCAGGCAAAACGTAAAGCAGGTGGACTAGAGCAGCAGAAGACCACACCAGGTGTCGCTTCTGTGAGCGAGAACATGAAGAGCAGGAAACTGATGCTACTACTTCTATTCACAGGAGCTCACCAAACCTGGACACAGATAATAGTAGGGTCAGAATTTGGTACCAGTGAGCTTTGTTTAAACACCCCAGCGTCCTTGATGGCTAACCATGTCCATGCCTTCATGACCACAGTGTATCCATCTTCTGATGGCTGGTTGGAACTCAAAGTGGTTTCTTGAGCATGGCAGTGAGTTTATGGACCTCAAATCTCCTCCGGTCACCAGATCTCAACCCAACAGAGCACCTTCGGGAGATTCCCATCGTGGATGTATGTCTGATATATCTGCAGCAATTGTGTGATGATGTCATGTCAACGTGGACCAAAGATTTTTGTTTCTAGCACCTTGTTGAATCTACGTCATCAAGAATTGAGGCAGTTCTGAAATTTGACTGAGTGGCCAGTATGACTAGAAAACCACAAAATACATATACAATGTAAACCAGGAATGGTCATGCAAATCAGATTCGACTGTAAATGCTGTGGTGTGGCATTCGGTTCATAAGCCATATGCCCCCATAAAAAGAAACTAACATAAACTATAAAAGTTTCATGGGTATTTAAGACATTACGGGTTAAGACAGGTTAAGACAGGTTAAGACATTACGATGCATCCTAAATACTCTGATAACTTTCTGTGACAAAGAGAGACACATATTATTAATAGCTGATATATGTAAATAAATAAGAGGCACATTGGAGTCAGAGGAAGTTGTTAAAAGTATTACTTAGTTTTGCATCCCCCCCACCCAAAAACCCCAAAAACAAAACAACTCCATCCACCAGGATAACATTGACACAAAGATACAGGAGTTGCTCATCTGTACAATGTAGTGCAACATGTTTCACAGTCAGCAGGTACTTACATTAATCAGCCATGAGGGGGAAGAGACAGCTTTGACAATTCTGTACAGTCTAAAATAATCAACATCCACTGGATATATTTGCACTTCCACGGAGAAACGGACACTCTAACAGGTTCTAACTAGAATGTCAGAGAAGGTAGTTTGATTCAAATAAAACAGATAAATAAATAAAATAACCTGCGTGTGGATCAAGTGTTTTAAACCTGTGATTCAAAGACAACTTTGAAGAATATGAACAGTACACACATATCAAAGCTCTGTCACATTGATATTTTCACTAAATTCAAACATGCCATCCTTTCATCAAACAAAAACTTTTCTCTGACATGAATCATTACAAAATAAAGCTGGTGTTAAAACAAATACAGAAAAAAAAAAGCACATCAAATGCCCCAAACACCCTGTCTAAGATCTGATAAGAATGCTGATGTGCTACTACACAACATGACAAAAAAATAAAAGGAAACATATGCTATTTAATCTCATGTTAATGCCCCTCCATAATCATTTCCTCATGTGAACCCTTTATTAGCTACAACTTAACTTCCCTCTTCATATCATTCATCAGTCTCTACTGGTTTGCTTGTTCCATCATTTCATTTGTATGCATTAAAAGCACTTTTTACATACAATTTTAACTCACACCATAATTTGTCCCTCAGCAAACACATTTAAAAGTTTAAATTTAATGATTAATCCACATGGTTCCTTTGGATGCCATCTGCCTTTATGTTGTAATTAAGGTCCTTTAAGTACTTCTCATAGTTTGGTCATGGATTTGTTATTAAACATTGAAACATTATAAAAAAACTGTTTGCTTTGAGACTTTCATTCATTGTGCATAATTCTTCATCTTTAATTTGTTTAGGCCCCTGTCACATAGGCCTACAGACCAGTCTGTCACCCCCCCGGCAACCTCCTGTCCTGGAGGTGCTGGGTGAAATCAGTTGCAAACAGGCTGCTGGACCAAAAATCTTCTTGTGGCTACTAACAGATCCCTGCAGTTTCCTCTAGTATACCTGGGAGAGATTGACTTCTGCAAAATCTCATAAACTACTTGACAAGCATTCGTGAACCATGCGAACGTATGACACCCCACAAACAGAGACCTTTCCCCTTCAAAGTAAAAGCTTAGCACTGAAACAAATATGTTTCAAATGCCACAACTTCTATTTTGACGGTGCAAGGCCTCTTTCTGGAGGTGTGTTGCACTTTTGCAAGTTCCACTAACACTAGTGGAGTAGATAACACAGCATAAATTTCACTAAGCAACCTCCAGCAACCACTTGCCAACTCCTTTTGGGCCAGTCATTGCCAGGTGGCTGCCAACTGGTGTGCCATCCTGTGTGACTGAGGCCTTAAACAGGATAATTTGCTGTTGATCGATGCCAGTCTCCTGTCAGTGCTTCAAATAAAGAAAAAAAATAGCTTGGCTAGCTTAGCATAAAGACGGGAAACAAACGCAAACAGTTAGCTCGGCTATATGCAAGGCTACCAAAAAACGATAGTAAACAAATAATCCTACACTTAATACCCTGCACAACATCAACTTTTAATTTAATCTTTTTTAGCTTTTCATTTACATTTACGCAAAGCTATGCTACGGTAAAGTAAGATATGCTCATTGTAAATTCTTGAAATTCTTATTTATCACACAGACATGAGCAATATCAGTCTTCTTGCCCAATTTTCAAAGTGCACAGTCTCACTTAAAATATCACACTAGTCCTTTAATAAGAGAAGCGTCTACTGGTTCTGCTCCATTTTGGATCAATTTAAAAGCAAATTTGGGAACGTTTGCTCCTCTGGTTGCTGGCAAAAAAAGTTAATTACTAAATTATTCTGCCTGATCTACCCAGTCTGATTACTACTATTCTTATAATTAAAACACCCCCTTCAGTCCACATTGTATTTTAGGTTTTTTTTTCTCTTGCATAGAGGATCTTTTTGGCTACTATCCACAAGCATTTTAGACAAATAGAATATTCTCTTTAACCAGATCGGTTATTTGGGGTTTCATTTACTTGAGACATTTTAGTCAGGAATAACAAAGTGAATACATTTTTGATTTCCATAATCATGCTTATGGTCTTGGCAAACACTGAAGGACCTCTTCAGTGGAAAACATGGTAATCTGCGCAAAAGTTCAGCTTCATGTTTGAATTAACGCCTAGATGTTCTAGAAGTCTTTTTTTTTTTTAACCGAGATCTTCATTGCTGTTGGCAGAGCAGTAGAGGATTGGCAAAAGAAGGAACCTGTAAAACTTTACATTACTTTTATTTTTAAACTCCAAGATAAAGTATTGCCCTTGGTGGAGTACAGCACTCTAGGAGTGTCCTTATCTACTGTTGCTTAAAATGTACGGTTCTCTCAAAAATCACAGTCACAATCAGAAAATGTGAATTTTGCCTCTGTGTATGTTTATATTTTCTAACCCAATTTGGTAGGAACTTGATGTTTTTGACATGTTAAAAAACATTTTCTTCTTTAACCTTCCTTCTTTATATCTTCTGTTCCCCCATCTTTTCTTCCCTCATTGATGTCAGGACTCACCGTTTTCCTCACTTGAGATCTAACGCTTTACTTTCTTATTTTAAATGTCTCCTCCTCATACACCAGCCTCCTCACCTTCCTCACCCTCTTTCTCCCTCTATGTGACATTGGATAAGGGTTCGCTAATTTTTAGACACTTCCAGTAGATTGTTCTGGCCATGGTGAACAAAGTGAGCAGGAGCAGGAGCACCCATGACACGTAGATCCCTTTTGAGCTCTTGGCGGGGTTCCAGGTGCCGACCTGAACACAGAAGTAAACAGGTGACGTTTTTTTTTTAATTTTTCAATGATTTTGGTCATATAAAATTCTTAATTTATGTTTTATTTTGAAAGTGACCACTTGTGATTCCAGTTAGCAATTGCACCTCACAAATAATTATTTGCTGTAGTGAACACTCAATGAAGCCACAAAATTAGCAAAATAAAATACATATTAACCACACGCCACCACGACTATATATGTGGATTCAATCTAATCTACACCATGTTTAAATTGTCAGCTTTTCGAAGGGAATACTTAACGAAAGCTTATGCTGACTAAAGGACACATGAAGGGATAACATGCAATATCACTGCCGCTTTGCAACTTTGGGTATAAATTGAACACAATTATGAACAATTACAATGATATTATTGCTTATTGTGCTAGTGCTGTGCCTCTTTTCTCTTTTGTGACCTTTTGTATGATGTTGTGCTTTTTGTGACTTGAAAAATGTCATCCAAATTACCTAACAAGTTTGTCACTTATATAAAGGTGAACAAAAAGAGCATCTGTGAATCTGCCGTTGTGCAAAAGTAGAGTTTACAATTAGGTTATATAAAATATTAAAGTACAGCAATAACAGTTAATTTATTAATTATTAACAGTAATAGTTACAATGAATAAAAGGTAATAACCAAAATTAAATGGTGAGAGGCAAATCATATCTATATCTAATATCTAATCAGCCAATCACATGGCAGCAGAGCACTGCATTTAGGCATGTAGACATAGTTATGATAATCTGCTGAAATTTAAACTGAGAACCAGTATGAGGAAGAAAGGTGATGACAGTGACTTTGAATGTGTCATGGTTGTTGAAGAACTGCTGGTCTACTGGGATTTTCCCACATGTCCATCTCTGGTTTACAGAGAATGATGTGAAAAAGAGGAAATATCCAGTTTGCTGAAGGTCTGTGGAAGAAAACGCTTCTTTGTCAGAGGTCAGAGAATGGCCAGACTGTTTTGAGTAGTCAGGAAGGGAACAGAAACCCAGATAATCACTCGTTAAGTATATAGATGAGCACCTCTGAGCACACAACATGTTGAACCTTGAAGCAGATAGAAGTGTTTTTAACTGATAGCTTGTTAAATCTATGTTATGAAGAGTTAAGGCCGCTTTGAAGGCTAAAGAGTATTACGTAAATAAAAGTTTATGTTTACGTAATAAAATGGCTATTGAGTTTATTTTCGCCTAAAATTTCCAGCAGTAGGACATCTGCTGGTTAAATGATTTGGCTTTTGGCATTCTAATCATCATCTTTTAAAAAAAAGGATACAATTTGATCTACCAACAGTTTACATCAGGTTTACAAGTTAACATCACTCCAACATCTTTGCCCACAAATACACACCAAAAGTCCTGCAGTGGAGACGGCGAGGATTAAAAACAGCAGGAAGCATAGCAGGCTCCTTCTTCTGGGGTACCGCCAACCAATAGAAGAGCTGGAAATCAAACCGAGAGACAGTCAAAAAATAATAATTCAAATTATAAATGCAAAACACTTATTTACCTTCCACACACACACACACACACACACACACACACACACACACAGAAAGTGAACATCTGACATACTCACACTTTTCGGCAGTGGGGACATCGAGCTAAAGTGCGGGCTGAAAACTCCGTCCACTAAGAGAGAGGAAATGAAAAGGTCAGTGTGTGCATATATTACAGTTCTCTATCAGGGGGTAAAGCAGAAGAGTACATTGGCAAATAATTCTGTAGATGTCAGTAAATAAATGCATAAAGAAGTAAAACTGGCACTGTCAGCTGTAATATAAGCCATGTAAGTGTGTGACTTTTACCAGGAATGTGTTGGAGCAGTGTCCACAGATGACTCTGATGCCAACAGGCTGACGCCGCGGTTCAGGACTGTCCCCTCCAATGTGGACTGGACCTAGGTTGATGATGCGTTTACTGCCAGGGAACAGAAAACACTGATTTAACATAAACACGTGTGAACAGCCTTTACTACTTATTTCAAAGTTTGTCCAAAAAGCACCTTTTTAGCTTTTTAAAAAAGGGTGTGAATCGAAAGTTGAAAAATTTAAAGCCAGCTCTGTGTACTATGAAGGTGTGTGACTTGGAAAAACTGTAACTGGAAGTGATTATAGTAAATAAACAAATGAGGAAATATACTAAAGTTACTGTACAAAAAGCCCCCAGCTGATTAAGAGTGTCAGGCGGGAATTTTACTTGGACTTAATCTGGAATGACCAATAAAAAAAAACATAAAATCTCGGTGAGACAACCTTGAAAAGGAATGTAAAGTTCATTTCACATTATAGGTGACATAAAGCCCACTGTATGTGATCTTAAGAGGGCTGGACTGAGGAAACTTGCATTTTATCCAGTGCAAAGAGGTGTAGCTACACATTTAATCACTCTAACATCAAAATATATGAAAGTCATTTTTCACCAGTACCTTTCAGGTTTTCGCAGGATAAAGAGATGTTTCTGTAGCAAAGAACAACTCTTTCAGCTTGAACTGTAATAAATAAATGTTTAGGGTTTTTTTGTTTTCTAATTGTTTGGTAGTTCATTACTCAGACTGACCTATATTTTACAAAGTGTTTGTTAATTAACAAAAGTACCAATTTTTCACTGCAGACCCACTGTCCAAATCAAAAAATTTCATTATAGATAGAAATAGTGGGGAACAAACACAAAACCGAAAACCAAACAGGAACTTTTTTGTTATTTAAGCGATATTAATGAATAGTATGTATGGCCATTGGGGAGGTCTTTATGAGTAGGAAAAGCTGTAAAACTGTAAAACCCCCAAATTTATGTCCTCCTTCACTTTCTCCAAAGTTTCTGCCAGCAGAATTCTGGCCCCCCGGACCTTATGTTTGACATCCCTGGATCATGATTTGTTAGTTGGTTTAAAAAAAATGGGACACCAATAGCCAATTTTAAACTAAAACACTGAAAATCAAAATATGAAGAAGAGGTCCACCTTCATGACTTTCGGCTCAACACACCTAACTAACTCTTTAATCTCTGTTTGTTCTCTCAGAGCTGACAGCAAAAGCCTTTAGAGCAGCTTACACTGAAAAAGTACTGGATACAGACTTAATCAGCAGTAATGGAAGATGACAGCAGCAGGAAATGTTCCAGTCTGACCGATGTCAGGTCGTCATTCTGCTAAACCTCAGTGGATGAAGACGCGAGACGAGAAAGACCAGGAGGCTTGTTCAGCCGTGAGTCTGAGATTTATGAACATTATGTTGCCGTCAGGGCAAAAATCAAGACTTCAAGATGGAAGAGTGATGCCACGATTTACGGTTTATCTATGTGGAGTAAACTTGCTTCTCATTTCCGAGTAGTTTCATACTTCAGGCCTGCTTATAGAACAAAATGACCATGTCTGCATCAGAAGTTAGTGAGGTTGATTTCTGTATAAACAGCTTATTAGAGCTACTCTTGGAAAAACCCAGACACTATTATAATAGTCATCAAACCACATCTTTTACCAATTTTTATACTGAAGGGTCAAAACACTCCATTAAGTGTACTGGGGAGGTCATGTCCTGGTTTTTGTATGTGGTGTGAGTGTTACAGAAACAAACAAAATGCTGGGAATACTGAAGCTATAATTATCGTTCCTTATATTAAGATGATAGGTGTTATAAACTCACTGATTGATTTAAAAACTGCGGCTAAAAAGTAGCTGGAAATGCGCAGGAGAACTCAATGGTATTGAAAAGACCAATAATAACAGCTTTGGGCTGCACCTCATTTACAGGTAGGTACACACCGGCTTACATCATAGGGCTTCAGAGAGGTTTTTGGTTATAATGTAGCTCAGCATAGATATCCACTTAAAGCATAAATCGCCAGTAATGCCAGGCTTTTTCCAGAACTGTTTTATAAAATCTGGTCTGTTCTATTCTTTTTTAAACATATTTAATTCTGTTTCAGGCTTTAACAAAAATGTTTGTTAATAAAAGTGTCATATAACTAGAGTTTATAATTTTTGCTTTTATTATTATGACTTTTCAAAAACTGAAATTTTGCAAAAAGGGGGTACCTTCAACAATCTCTTAACACCACGTAATGCTTGCTTTTGTTGAACGGCTGGAAAAGGTGGTGTGATTACGTGTTAAAGCTGAGATGGATTAAAAACAGCCTCTGTTTCTTTTCCTGACTCACCAGTACGGTCTTGGACAGGCGATCTTTTGCGACGTCACTTTGCAGATCAGCAGACAGTTGCAAGGACAGCGGACATACTTCTTTCCAACAGGAGCATTCTTAATGGGCTGAAACCAGAGAGGTGAAGACACAGATAGAAGAATAAGAAACTTCAAACATTTGCTTTTGGCTTTTCCAAATGTGAGGTTCTTAAATTGTTTTACTTTTGATTTCATCAGACGAAAGGAGAAGTGAACGACAATCCAACACGCCGATATTTTGTGGTTTACCAATGCAACTTTCCAACAAATACTGACGCAAGTACAGATTTCTATTATGTTAAAAAGCTATTAACTATTTTTTGGTATACAAAGTCTGGTTTCAATTACTCTTGTCAAATGTTTTTGTGGATTAATAGATAATTTTCTTCATTTTTCAAGCAGATAACAGTCTGTCTTTTTTTTTTGTTTTGAATGAAAAGAGTCAGGCACATCTAAAAGTGTGCCACAAGTCAGAGTTTTAAGTCACAGAATATAAAAATTTGGAAAGACTTGATCTTACAGGGTCACCATTTGTAAGACAACAACTAAATTCCTTTTGAGATTATTTCCCATCATGCTCCAGGTGGAAATTTACAAGAAGAAAAGCATCAAGACCAGAAACAAAGTGATGTAAGCAGTAAGCAAAGTAAAGGTTGGGCCTTACTGCTGAAATTTTACTTTGAATGTCAATGTCATCAGTTTCACTACCACTTAGCAAGTAGTTATCTGCAGACAAGTTGGTGACATCAATGCAAATTAAGAGACACTATGGCAGTCTGCTAGTGACTAAGGCCATTACAAAGAAGCAAATTACAACCCATAGTCAGTTTATAGATGGGCCTCCAATAATGATGGAACAATTAACAGCCAGTCTTATTTAACATAAAAAAAAAAGCTTCAAACTGTTCAGTTACTTAATATCAATAAGTCATTTTACACATATAAAACGATAAAGATGCTTAAAAACGAGCAGATAAAGTTGTTTTATCTGTGCAGCTTTTCTCCATTCACTTCCATCAAGTCCTTACTAATTCTAACTAATTAATTATAGTTATTATAATTACCAGTTATAACTACAATGAGCAAGATCTTCATTTTCCATTTGTTGTGTTTGACTCATTAATGTAGACCTACTTGCTTTATTGAGTTTTAAATACTGTGTAGGTGGTGTTTAGCATTGAATGTTTCGCAATAAAAGCCCCATTAAGAAAGGGTTTACCGGTTTATTCTACTGCAATGCCAGATGACATTTATTTTGAAATGTGTACAGAAGCATTGAGTTCTTGTAGCACCAGCAAAATACAGCAACTTAACAAGGCAGCAACATAGGATCTCAAATAAGGCTGCAACAAAAATAAGAGTCCCTGCAGAGGAAAATGGACTTCTGTGTTAAATATACTTAATATTTATTATAATCTAAGCTTGTAGGAAATAAATGTTTGTTTCTGTAGTTGAGGTACATCAAGACTATATAGTCCTCTGTATCTGCCTCTTACCGTAGCTTCATTGCAGATGTTGCACTTCACCACATGCTGGTGCGTCTTGCCTTCCACAGATATGGAGGTCTGACAAACCCGGCAGCTGATGACCGGAGCACTGCTACTGTCTGGGCTGCCTTGTGGGGAGTACGGGGGTGGAGGCTCGCCTGGTGCCACAGAGCTGGGGAACGGAGCAAAACCTGATGAAGACAAAGAAGAGGTTTTATTAACACTAATAAAACAACATCTTTTGTTTATCATGAAAAAATACAGAAAATATATAGCCTGAAGTACTGCTTCACCTACACATTACATCTACAGCTGCTCAGCCATGAGAACACATGCCATGAAGCTCCCAGCGCACAGTTTCTGTGCTGATATTAATGCACTGATGAGATTTGGAGCACTGCAGTTCATGAGTCAGCAGAGCCTTCTATGCACCTTAGCACTTGGTGACCCCGCCCTGTTACTTTACATCGGTCTGACATTTTGAGGCTGAGCTGCCGTGGCTCCTAAACTCTTCCACTTTGGTATTATACTGCTAAGCCCTAATGAAAGCAAGAAATGTAATGAATTTGTTGCAGTAGTGGAGTCCTACTCTGTGAGCTCTTTAAAAGGACCCATTCCCAAACCAAATATTTGTAAAGGCAGACTGCTTGGTTCGGCGCTTTTAGAAATATGTGAAACAGAAACACTTGAATTCAAAGATTAAAATCTGTGGTCTGGTACTTTTGTCTATGTGGTGTATATATAAAATCTTTAACTATAACTTGATGAGACTGATCAGGAAACTAGTGGCTTAACAGATCAGTGTAACTGCTTCTCCCTTTTGTGTGGGGTATTTCTAAGAGCCATCTATTTTCTAAAGGTAAATTTCTGCATTTTCACTCTTCAAATCTGTTGTGCAATGGTACACCACTGCAATTCAGTAAACACCGTTATCGTTAACAAGTATTGGCTCACAATATCACCACTTTTGTGCTTGGTCAAGACAAACAGTAGGTGCACAAACAGAATTTAGATGTGTATCTGTTTGTTTATACTGACTCATGTGTGGGTCAGCAAGTTGTATGTTTAATTATATTGATTAACATAATGTTATCTATATGTGACACCGTTAAGGGTCAAAACTCAGTGAGTGTAATACAGGAAGCACAGAAACCAAGTGACTGTCACAGTTACAAGGAAGCAACCAGAGAAGTGAGAGAGAGAAATTGGAGTCACAGCAGAGATAAGAGCAATGAAAAAAGACAAACAAGCCAGACATGTGATGTCTGACATGATCACACAGAAAAGCAGAACAATTGTTTTAGTTTACAAGTTAAAAAAACAAAACAAAACCAAAAAACGTTTCATTTAAATCCCAGAAACTGAGATACTATTTCTGCAAGTTATTATATGGAGTTGCTTCTCGGCAATTAATCATAGTTATACTTCAATGATGATTTTTTTTTTCCTTCCGCTGACTATTAAAATAAACTAATTTTACATAAAAAAAATAAATTGCATTCTGCTTTGCAGTAGTTCTCTGGGTTTTGTCCTTCAGCACAATCATTTTCCTTAACTTCAAACCATAAAATTTCTTTGCCTGACAGGTTGTGACAGGCTTAGCTAAAGTATTTATATCAATTTCATTTAGTCAACTGACGTATAAAGTTCACGATTGTGGCTCAAGAGTTGGGAGTTCGCCTTGTAATCGGAAGGTTGCCGGTTCGAGCCCCGGCTTGGACAGTCTTGGTCGTTGTGTCCTTGGGCAAGACACTTCACCCGTTGCCTACTGGTGGCAGTAATAAGAGTCCTTATTTGTTTTGAATCAGTTCCCTTTTACAAGCAGTGGATATGACATTTAGGAGTTTTATTATGTTAAAAAAAAAAAACCCAGATGTAGTTATGAAAAACAAATTAGGCCAAAGATACTTTGACATGGAGACTACAGGAGGTGGAGATTAAACCTGACAGATGACCTGCTCTACCTCCTGAACCACAGCCGCCCCTAAAGCTTGCAGTTTCCAAGAAATCTCCCATCTGCGTACTAACCAGGCCCCGACCCTGCTTAGCTTCCAAGTTCAGAAGAGATCGGGCATGCACAGAACAGTCATCTTGTTCCTTGTTTATCATTTTACTGCTCAGTAAGAATTCAGTAAATCTAAATTCTTATTTATTTATCACATTTTATTTTCTAAAGTTAGTAAAGCAAGGCAGCAAGGCAAGCCTGATCTTGTCATACACATAAAAAAAAAAAAAATATCCAGTTTCTTCACTCACATTGTGGATTACAGCTTATTGGCATTTTGCTGGTAACGGATTAGTACTCCGTATTGGTATCGATACTGTATAGGAAATGAAAAGAAATGGTTGATTGTTAGTGGTTTTCAGATTATCTCACACCAGAAATGGGAGCGTCGCCCAATCTGAAAAAAGGTAATGTTTATACACCATTAGTTTTGAGGTATTTACAGGTGGGAAATAGTTTCAGTCCATCCACCTGATACCAGACATCATGTGGTTTCACTCCATTTCAGTCACTAAATGACTTTTGCATGTGCCTGAGAATACACAGCAATGCCAAAATACTGGTTCTACCAGGTTTCAGAGGTAGAGTGGTGCGAAGGAAGTAAAAAACCCAACATGCTCCCACATTTGTCATTCAGCAGACTGAAGATGCTGAAGCAAAACATGTTTAAAAATCCCTGTGGCAAAGCACAGACTGAAAACACATGAGCATGACACAGAGTCATTAATCGGACGCAGCCTGTGGTGATCACTAGACCGACTTGCAGGTTTTTTCCCCCCTAACTGAGAAACAATTGTTTCATGATTGAAGCAGCCGAATGCTGAAGCGGAACAACTCAAAGGTTTGGGAAATTTGTGTGATTTTTAATATTTTCCTGGTACAAGAAAAAAAGTACATAACCCACAACAATAGTGAAATAATGACACAACAAAAATGGTCTGGCCACATTGTTATTTGTAATCTCTAGTATTGGTCGAGAATTTTACAATCAAGATATCCCTAAAAGTCCAAAACGAAGTCTTTAAATTACTTTACTTTATGCCTGTTTCATCAGAACTCAATGTTCAATACCATGCACTAAAGAAAAGCAGCAAATCCTTACATGAGAACAAACAGGACCTGCTGATTTTTGCTGTTCAGGCTTGATAAATGACTAACCACAGAGCGTTGTTACAGTGATCTGACAGCCGGGAGCTCTGACCCCTTGTCATAATGCAAATCACCAAATCAAACTCACCCACATGAAAAGCCTTTCAAACACCCGGTTTTTCATGCCTAACATCTGTTATAGACCGCTGACAGCTCAAAGGTCCTCATTAGCATGGGTAAATCACCCTAAAATCTGTTTTTAATTCATTTTTGTGTGGGTTGAATCCCCTTTAGTTGTGTGATAATGTCTCTATTTACGGCTAACGTTAGCCTGACAGCTAACATTTGTTTACAACACGACACCTATAAAGGTAAAAACAAACTACAATACCACGCTGTTGAAGCCTATTAATGAGTGCTCGTATTCTGAATGGTGGTGTGAAAAGGACACAGAGGACATACTCTGAGGTTTCGGCAGATATCCGTGCGAGCTTGTACCGGGAGAGAAGCCGTTGGTCCCGTCGTGCTGATCGGGCAGCAGCGGTGACCGTTCCCCGTCTGCCATCGCTCCCTCCGGACCCAAGCCTTTCTTCCAACAACGCCCCGCGGGAAGTGTATCTGCGGCGGCTGGGAGACTCCTCGGACCTCCGGTAAAGATTTGTTTGGAGGAGTCGGTGTGAGGCTTTCAACCCCTGACCCTGCTGGAGGTTTGGGTTACTGACAGCCACATGACGCGGCGAAAACACTCGCTAAACGCGGAAACGATACAACGAAAACATCTGTCACATGATTCAAGGAGTCAGGAAGTGACGGACAACGGGCTAGACCAATGAACGAGCCGTGTACGAATGGGCGGTTCCTTCTGCCTTTGTTGACTAACAAAAATTATAAACTGTAAGGCGATGATTGCATTACAATTACTGCTGGTATATGTGCACACAATAGAATAGGTTAGACTTTGTCATTATAAAAGTGCAATGACATTTAGTCTGGTATCACTCCTCTACCCTATCAGAAAACAACAAATAATAACAATAATAATAAACAGCTAAGTTTGTGTCTCTTCTCACAGTTCAAAGACATGTATGGCAGGTTGGTTAAAGCTAACTCTCTATGACTACAGTTAGCATGGCAGCCTGTCCAGGGTGTATTCCCACCTTTTAGAGCTGGCAGGTTCCAGCCCATAGTGGAAGAGGGACGGTTGGATTTATGAGATTATTTATTGCATCTTCTGTAATGTGTGCAGTTCTAAAACAGTCAAATACATGAGTCATGTGGTAAAAGCAATTAATATGTGAGCTCTTCTGCCTACATTTTTCCTTGTACAGCAGGAGCTTTACACGCAGGGCAAGTTAGATGGTAAATGGGTCGACTGGTGCATACATAACACCTTTTTTCTATACCCAAGCACCTCATCTAACACTTATGTACACACACTCTCCACCTCAGGCTTCAGTATCTTGCCAAACTGGAGTAATTGGGGAACCGGTCTACCAACTATACGGGTAGGCAACTCAATTTATCTACTGAGCCGCAGTCACCTCTGTGATCCAAGGGTCACCAGACTGAGCTAAGAGGCAGAAATCATAAATTTGGTCTTTATAAAAGAGTAAATAAAAAAGTGGATGTATACTCAAGAGATTACATCTGATAGACTAGATTTTTTTCTAGTAACTGATTGGGATGAAACAAGAGCTAAAAAAAAAAGACATGAAGTGAAAATAAAATGGTTGCGTTTGATTGTGTGTTTAATGATATTAAATTCAGATGTAATACAGTATTAATACAATTAAAAGTTAAGATAAATATTTATGGCTACACAAATCCTATATACTATTTTAATAACTACTACAGTATTTAAGAATTCATTCATGTGTACGATATCTTTGTGAAAAACATTTAACAATAGAAGGAGCAGAATCGAATAAATGACAGAAATGTCTAAAGCTGAAAAAACAGGAAGTGTTTTATTTTCCCCGAGGTTACACAGGAAATGTGTACAGATATTTCTGTAGTGACTTGCAGGGAGAAAATGTTGCATTTAAACATCACTGATGTGCATGAAGATTTACAGGGTGACCATAACATAGTTAACAGCTTTGACATACGGAAAACCAATCATAGAAAAAATATAGTTATACTCTCTCTCACTGAAAGAGGAAAAAAAGTATATTAGCTTTGCATAAATCTACACAACATGCTTCTCTCTAACAGCAGCAAAGTACATGAAGCTGAAAACTGACATCCTTTCTGTTTCACATGACTTAAACAAGTGGAGCACGCAACTGTAAACGTGCATCTGGTTAGCTAAAGAGTGAAATGTGGGTAATCCTCCTATCTCCCTCTTGAAAATAACCAACATTTAGTAAACAAATGTCATGTTTTTGTTAGAATTACCTGAAACAAGCAGACTTCCTACCAACTTCTATACAACTGAAACCCTTCTGCAACCAGAGGAAAGAAAGCTCTTAGTTATTTTTCTTATAAGAATATGTTCATGAGTGCTAATTACTCACATGAAAGTTTACATTTTAAACTTGTCCACGAACTTGAGCCACTCGCCACCAAATCTCAACGACACGTGGTTTTGTTTGCACTTCTCATAAAAAAGGGAAAGAACACAAAAAAAATCTAGTTATATTCATCCTTAACAGAGCCTTGAGAATTTCTCATCGACATTCTTGAAGGCCTCCGTCGAAGATTCTGTTGATGTTTCTGGAAATAAAGGAAAGGGGAAAAAGGTGAGACCACTTGTATGTTTTTGTGCAGTCACTCGATTACAAAGCCTCAATAAGAAAGACCTTTAATCGCTCATCTGCCTGCTTTCCTTAGTGTTCAGGCTCCCACTCTTTCCTTTACATCACTTCCTCTCTCTCACGCCAGTAACTCAATGCTAACATCCTGGCTTCCGTCCAATCGCGTCCTTGACCACCTTCTATGAGCCAATCAGCCTCCCCTCTGCCTACTTTAAGTATCTAAATAAATTACATTCAGTTCCTTCAGATGATCTTTCCTTATTGAATTGAGTTTGTGGGTACCTTTAGGTTTTCCTGGTGTTTCTGGCTTCTGCAGTGGAGGTCCTTAGCATTTTGCTCATCCAGGTAGAAAATGGAGCAGAGGTTACAGAAAAGCCCCATTTTTTGGACAACATGCTCATCACCTAAGAAGACCAGAAGCATACCAAATAACTTAAGAGAGAAAAGAAAGACTTGAAATTGACGTCATTATTTTATGTTTCGTTCTCACCAAGGGACGCATCAGCATCCAAGTTGTCTGTGATGCGAGGAGACTGAGAACAAGATCGCTTTGCTTTGGGTTCAATAAGTGCTCTCCTTCGTTTACGGAAAGCTAAAGAAAAGGAAAACAACTAATAAATGATAAATGATGACTGCAAATTAAACTGTACCTATTCCAATAACAAGTTTATATTTTTACTTCTCTAGTTACAGCTGCTTGAATGTCTTGAATTGTAATATGATTAGTAACTTTTGATGGACAAACTTTAACTTCACAAGTTCCAGATTACAAATTGTGGCTGTCTTCTGACAGAGTGTGTTAGAAAAACCACAATATAGACACCGACTTGGATGCAGTTTTGCTCTATTCTAACAAATTCTAAGTGGAAAACAACCATCGTCCACTTTAGTGAATCATACTGAAACATTTTGTTGGTTTAAAATCAGCACATTTTGAGGTAAAACAGCTTCTCGTACCTTTAACGTCACTCCTGCTCGGTCCTCCCTGTGTCTGATTATCAAGACACTCAGGCTGTTGCTGTTGCCCAGCAGAGGCAGCATCAACATCGGGCTGGCTCTCTGGTTTCTCCTCTGTTTTTTGGCTGTCTGGTTTGTCGTCACTTGACAGTACAGATACGTTTTTGTCCAGTGACGAGGACTCGAGTGAAGCGGCAGGCAGTGATTCTGTTTCTGCATCTTCTCTCTCGTGTGTTGCGTCCCCTTTTTTCCCTCTAACAGATTTTCTCACTGCAGGAAAAGAAAAAGAAATACTTGAGATTTATAATTTAGACCAGATTGTACAGTTTTGTGCAAATTCTTAGTGGCAGCAGTCTTCAGGAACAGTTCTCCAGGCTTCTTGATGAACATTCAAAGCTCTTCTTCAGATCTGGACTGCCTTTAGATCAGGGGTGTCAAACATAAGGCTGAAGGCCCAGAATCAGCCCAGGAAAGACTCAAATCTAGCCCGCTAGATTTAGAAAATGTGGAGGGGGGAATAAATTTGTAACTTTTAACTGTATTTAAATAGGTTTCACAGCATCTCCTGCTGATAAAGACTCCCTCACAGTCATTCATACTACACAAAAGTAATTAACTAAGAGATAAATAATTAAATGACAGAAAAGTCTTGTAAAAGCTAAGATATCCACCGTCAACTTCACTCTGTAGGAGCTTCCGACTCTGAAGTAGACTTTCTGTTTCCCCCACTGTCTTCCTGTCAGTTATTTTCAGGTTTTACTCTTCCCTCTCTAACTGACCTATCTAATCATATTAAAAAAATCAAAATCATCCACCTGTCAACTTGACCCTCTTCCCACTGTGTTAGTTAAAGCCTGTCTTCCCTCGTTAGCTCCTCTCATAACCAGTATTATCCGTTCCTCCCTTAAAATTGGAATGGTCCCTTCATGTCAGAAAAAGGCTTCTGTTATTCCAACTCTCAAAAAGCCTGGTGCAGACCCCAAAAACTTTGATAATCTTTGCCCTATATATACACAATCGAACTGTCAACTCTTGAGCCACGATCACCCTATGTACAGTCCATGTTTCAATTGCTTCTATAACCAGCTTTAGCTAAATTGAAGGAATCATTTTCTGTGTGACTTCATCAGTCTCTCACATCGTTGTGGGAAAAATTTGGCCCACACCTCTGTTGCTTCAGTTTATTGAGGTTGGGGATATACATTTACGCACAGCATTCTTAAGGTCCCAAACCAGCATTCCAATCAGGTTGAGGTCTGGACAGGGCAATTTCAACACCTTGATTATTTTCTTTGTCAGACGTACAGAGGAGTTCATGGTTGACTCTGGGAATGCAAGGTGCCCAAGGTTTATAAAAGAAACCCAAAGGTGTTTAAAGGACATTATTCCACAGGTTCGTATGGCTTCTTCAGATGTAACTTGACCATGCACCAGAGCAGCAAATTAACTTTAGTAAAGGAGGTCACACCTGCTGATGATTAATTAATTAACTGACTCTAATTAGAAACCTGTTGCCTGCTGCTAATTTATGACATTTTTTTATGGAAGCAATAAGAAAACTAACACAAACCTGCATTGTCATCACATTTGCGTTTATTAGATCTTGAGATTTTCTGAGTCTCCTTTTTGACACCCTTCTCATTCTCATCATCCACTGCTTCATTCACATTTGACAAAGTCTAAAAAGAGAAAACCATAATGTTTGGCATCAAGATTTATGTTATCAGAACAAAGATTTCTCGAAGAAAGAAAAATGTTTGCAACAGTTTAAATGCTAACATTACCTCTTGGTTTAAGGACTTCACTGACTGGCTATCTGGGTTGAGTGGGCAGACCTCATGTCCCTCCTCTTCTTCACCAATCTCATCCAATGTGACAAACTCCTGCAGCTCATCCTCCGTAATCTCCCTATTCCACTCTTCTCCCTCCAAAAAACCTTTCTCTCCACCCTCATCTGCCCCCACCTCATCAAGAGTCACTAGCTCAGATGTGTCATCCAAAAAAGTTTTCTCAATATATTTCCTTGGTCTTTCCAACCTTGTGTTTTCTGAAGTTGCAGGTCGATTATTCCTAACATCATCATCTTCCACAGGGTGTATTTCGTAGGTAGAGTCTTCCCTTAAGTCTTTTATCAAGGCATCACTCTTTGTTGTTGGTGTCTTCTCGGTTGGTAGCGTTGTCTCTTCATTTTCTGTATTTTTCTCAGGATCCCATTTCTGGGAATGTACAGCCCATGTGGTTCTCCTTCTTGCTGTAGTCTTGTCTTTTGTTGGGACTTCTTTAGCCGTTCTTTCCTTTCTCCCACTGGTAGATTGTTCTGTAATGGCTGAATTGCTGTTGTCAGTCTCTACTGCTTCTGGCTTTTCAGATTGTTCTGTGTATGTCAGTTTGTCCTTTTTGTATCCTCTAGCAGACCTTCTACTACCAGACCTTTCTGCAGTAAAAGCATCTTGAATTGGTTCATCTTTATCAAAATTTACTTTCCCATGAATGATCTTTTCAGTGTCCTTGAGAATATTTCTGTCTTTTTCTGTATTGCTTTTCTTTGTTCTTGTCTCATATTTTTTCACCATCTTGTCCTCTTTTATTGGTAATTTCCCCTCCTCTTCACTTTTAGATGTTCTGGACCTTGATCCACTCCTCCTTGTTGGTCTATCATCTCTTTTAGGTTCATTGGATTTATCTGTTCTTTTTTCCTTGTTGTCTGCCTCCAATTTGGTCTCTGTGGTTGCTGGCTCATCTTCCACAGAATCAATTACCTGGTAAGCTTCTTCCTCTTCTTCTGTGGCTTCTTTAGATACTTGGGTGCCGAGGGTTTCAAATTTTTGGTTATCATCTTCTATTTCAGTCAGATCATCAACTGAATCCAGTATCTCAAATGCTTCAGTAGCATCTGTTGAAGTGTTTTGGATGTCTTGACATTCAATGTACTGTTTTATTTCATTTCGGATTGTGGATTTTATATCGTCTAAAATCTGATAACCTTCCCCATGCAATGTGTGGCTTTGTTTAGGTCCTGGATACTTGGTTTTAGCACAGCCATCTTGATTTCCATCGTCATCCAGCTGTTCTTCTGTTTGATCATCAACTGAATCAATGACTTGGTAAGTTTCACCATCTTCCTCCTCCTCCTCCTCAATACATTTTCCGACATAATCCCCTGCCGCAATGCCCTCTCCTGACACGTTGTGGTCAGACTTTGCTGTTGCACACTCTGTGTTTTTTTTCTCTGATTCATTAGAATATTGAATCTTTACAGATGCCTCAATATCTGATGTTGATGCCATCTCTGACAAATGGGTCTTGTGGCCTGAGGATACAGTGTGTGGTCTTCTGGCTGGAGATTCTGTCTTGTGTGGCTGTGCTCTGTGAAAAGGCGATGCATGAATTTCGACAGGCAGCGAAGAAGAGAATAAAGGGGTCTTAGAGGCCTGAGCAGATTGCATAGATGTGGTATTGAATTTGGTTGGTTCAGATGAGCCTTTTTGTTTTTTTGGTGAGTCAGTGGTCAAGCCTAAAGACAGGGTGCTTTTCTCTGAAGCTTCAGTGGGCTTGGATTCGGAAGATAAAGCAGCTGAGTTCTTAGACTCTTTCAAGGATCTTGTTGAGATCTTCTTGGCAGAAGATGAAACATCTGAGTTTTGTCTTTTTCTTTTCTTTCTGGAGTTCTGCTCAGATGAGAAGGTGCCTTGGTTGTCATCCACATCCTCAATTTCATCAACAGTGACAAAACTCTCAAAATTCTGCTCATCAAAAAGCTGAGCGTCTGAAGAAATAGAATCATCATTATGACTATCAGTTGAATCCAGTATCTCAAAGGTTTGTTGTTTAGTACCCTCTTTTACAGTGTTGTCTCCCTCTTCAAAAGGCTGTTTTTTACCTTCTGCAATTAAGCCAGCATCTTTGGAGGCTTTAGATGATTCCTCCAAAAGCGTTATTTCATCTTTCCCCTTGCTTCCATCTCCCCTGCTCTCTGCTGCATTTTTGTCACAAATGTCCACTACCAGAATCAAATCTTCAGACAGCTGCTTTACTGTAAAACTTTCATTTTTGGCCAAAGGATTGGGCTCTTGAACTGTAGTTATTTGGTCTCTGATATCATTGTCTAGCACTTTGCGAGAAGCATCCAATCCAATTTCACTGCACTCCTTTAAACATGCGTCATCATCATTAACACTGTCCAAGACCTGAAAGCCTCCTTCATGTAATTCTTGGCCTTGCTCAGGTCCAGGTGTCTGACTTATCTCCGACTCAATAGTTTTCCCAGCAATGCCTTTTATTGAAACTTTGTGGTCAGACTGTACAGGTACACTTTCTGTAGGGTTTGCTTCTTCTCTATGAAGCTGACAAGTCTCTATTGTTGCCTCAACTAGTGCTGTCAATGACAGCTTTGACAAATGAGTCCTACAACCTGAGGATGAAGAATAAGATGCTCTGGCTGGAGACTTTGCCTTGCTCAACTTCCTTTTCTGATCAGGCAAAGCAGGAGTTTCATTTAACTGTAAAGAGATCGTTTTGACATTAGAAGACAACCTGCTTTTCAAAGTGGATTTCCTTGTCTTAGATGAGGAAGGTGACAAAGAAATCTTGAAACCTTTCAAGGATTTTAATGAGGTTTGTTCGGCAGAGGATAACACATCTGTGCTTTGGTCCTCCCCAGAGTCATCGAAAATCTCATCAACAGTGACAAAATTCTCCAAGTTAAAATTTTGCTCATCAAAAAGGGTGGTATCTGAAAAGACTTGGTCATCGACGTGATCATTAGCAGAGTCCAGTGCCTCAAAGCCTTCTTCTTCAGTACTATCTGGTGAAGCTTCTTTGATGCTTTGATGTTTAACATTTGTCATTTGGCCAGAGTCTTTGCAGGTTTCTCCTGAAAGCATCTGTTGTTCTTTTTCTTTCCCCCACCTTCCATCGCCCCTGCTCCTTGAAGCTTGATTCTTACTTGTGTCCAGCACTTCGTTTCTCTCAGCCGAATCTTCAGCAACAGATTTATCAGAATTATCTACTTGAATGACATGCTCCTTGGACAGCTGCATCAATGTGGAACCTTCATCTTTAACTGTTTGAGTGGCCTCTTGAACTGTTGCTGTTTGGTTTTCAGTTACACTGTCTAGTGCTTTGAAAGGCGCATCCATTTCCATTTCACTAAACTCCTCAGGACTTTCATCTTCAATACTGTCCAAGACCTTATAGCCACCTCCAAAGAATGCCTGGCCTTGCTCAAGAGCAGATGACTGGCTTGACTTTGACTCAACAATTTTCAAAGCAATGCCATTGGCTGAAATTTTGTGGTCAGATTTTACCACTAAACTCTCTGTTGGTTTTGCTTGTTCTTCATTTGGCTGACAAGTCTCAACTCCACTTAGAGCTGCTTTTGATGCACAGGTCCTAAAACCTGAATACAAAACTTGCAATGCTCTGGCTGGAGATTTTGGGTTACTTGATGCTGCTTTTTCCACAGAGGAGGCAGGAGTTTCCATAGCCATACACAAACTGCTCCTTGCAGTGGCTTTCATTGACTTGGATAAGGAATGTGAGAAAGAAGAATAAGTTGCTGAGCTCTTGGAGTCTTTCGGGGATCTTGTAGAAGTCTGCTTTACAGGAGATGAAACATTTGAACCTTGCCTTTCACTTTTCATTCTAGAGTTCTGCTCAGATGAAGCAGTGCTTGGGTGGTCTAAGGCCATATCTTCCACATCATCAACAATTTCATCAACAGTGACAAAGTCCTCCAAGTTGAAATTTGGCTCATCAAAAAGGTTGGTGTTTGATGAGGCATGGTCATCAGTATGATCATCAGTTGAATCTAATATCGCAAAGGTTTCATGATCAGAACTATCTGATGAATAATCGTTCATGTCTCTGTTGTCAGCATCTTTGGACGCTTTGCAGGATTCTTCAGAAAACAATTCTTCCTTTTCTTTTCTTCTTCTATCTTCTGTTTGGCCTCTTGGGTTTTGGTTGCTACTTGTAATTGACATTTGAATTTTATCAGCTGCATCTAGAACTGTAGATTTATCAGAATTTTCCATTATCTGAATCTTGTTTTCCTCAACCTCCCTTTTCTCTGCTGAGTCTTCATTTTCAACCAGGCAATCATCCTCTTGATTGGTAGCTACTTGGTGTTTAGAAACCCCATGTAATAGTTGGACAGAATCATCCAATCCGATTTCACTCCATTCCTTTGAACAGGTTTTAACTGCATCTGTATTGCTCTCCATGACTTGACTGTCCAACTTATGCAGTCTATGGCCTTTCTCAGGTCCAGGTGACTGCCTTGACTCTGACTCAACAGAACTTGTTTCTTTGTGCAGCTTATATGTGTCAACCGATGTCTTAGCTGCTGCTGCTGATGCCATCTTTAATGAATGCGCCCTGCAATCTGAGGATGAAGTATGCAGTGCTCTGGCTGAGTACTTAAACTTGCTTGGGTGTGTTTTCCTACAGGTTTCAAAAGACTGAGAAGATGAGGAGGTAGAGGTCTTAAAGACATTAGAAGACAAATTTCCTTTCACTGTGATGTGAGTTGGCATGGGTGAGGAAGAAGAGGAGGCAATGTGAGAGCTTTGCCTTTCTCTTTTCCTTTCAGAGTTCTGCTTATGAGAAGAGAGGCTTTGGTGGCTGAAGGCTGCTTCTCCCGTGTTGTCACCAATTTCATCAACAGTGACAAAGTCCTCTAAACTGAAATTTAGCTCATCAAAAATATGTGTTTCTGAAGAAACATGGTCATCAGTGTTATCATCAATTGAATCCAATATCTCAAAGGTTTCTTGTTTAGCACAAGCTGCATCGCATGACATGTCTTTGTTGACTTGTTCTTCAACATTTAGGATTTGGCCCAAATTTTCGGGGGCTTTAAAAGACCTCTGCATTTCTCCTTGTGTTTGTATTGTCGTTCGAGCTCCCTTGATCCTTGGACTTTGGTTCGTTCTTGAATCTAACACATCCTTATCAGTGGCATCTTCTTGAGAGTCCTCTTTAACTACAGATGCTTGGTCCTCGGTAACACTATCCATCACCTGGTAAGAGTTGCCTGGCTCTTGTACACACCCAGATAAATTGGTTTCAGTGTCATCTTGGCTTCCGTCTTCATTCATCTGTTCATCCAATTGATCCTCAATCGAGTCTAGGATTTGGTAATCTTCAAAGTCCTCCTCCTCAGGATACTTGCCAGAATAATCATTTCTGCATTCTTCTTCTGTCCTCTCCTTCGACTCTTTGAGTATGCCATTGTTAAAATCAATTTCTAGATTCGGTTTTTGGCTTGTCAACTCTAACCCCTGACTATGTGCAGCTGAATGTATAGCTAATGAGGTTTCTGTTCTATTTGTCTCTGTAGTAATGCCCTCTGCTAACACTTTACCAGACTTCCCTACTGCACTTTCTTTGGGTTTTGCTTCATCTCTATGAAGCTGATATATCTCTACTGTCACATCTGCTGCTGCTGCTGTTGATGCAATCGTTGATGAAGAAGGCTTACAGCTGAAGGATGGAGAATGTAAGGCTATCTCTGGAGACTCTGGATTTTCTGGCTGTGCTGTTTGGCAAGGGAAGGGAGGAGTTTCAATAGATTGTAGAGAAGAAGAGACAGAGATCTGGATGACACTAGGAGATGAGCTGCTCGTGGAGTCGTTTAAGGGCCTTGTTGAGATCTGTTTTGTAGTGGTCGACACAACCAGGCTTTGGTTTTCTATTTCCACTCCGCAGGTCTGCTTAACCAGTTAAAGAGATGAGTTATTTTCCATTACATAACTGAGCTTTTTTTTTTTTTTTTAAACAACCAACCAACCAAACAAACAAAAAAACTAATAAAAGGGACCGCAGAAGACTGTCACTAATAAACTCTAAGATATATTATCATATCTAGGGATGGGTATCGTTTAGGTTTTATCCGATACCAGTACTGGTGCTTATGGTGCTCGAACCGGTGCTTAAAGAATGGAGAACACAAAATTGGTCAAAAAACCTCTCATGTTCAGCTGTTTTTTGTAAAAAGATTGGTCCTGGCAGGGCTACGGGCCAGGACTCTACTCTTCAGGTTTTTGGGGATGTTGCTAACTCCGGGTCCGATAACAGGCAACCCACGCGCAGTAGATGTGCACGGTGTGAGGTCTCGCAACAAGCTATCAAATACGGCGCATTTCTCAGGTTTTAACAAAATGCTATACGTCGCCAGGTGTTTCATCAGATTTGAGGAGTTACCTCCTTTGCACAGTATCATCCTAAAGTACTTGTTGCAGGCTGTGTTGCTCTTTTGCTGTGAAGTACAGTTAGACTTTGAGCACTTCGCTTTGGGCATTTTTAATCTGTAGCTCTTCTCTAAAAGAAGGTACGTACCTGGGCCCGCCTACAACGCTCGCAAAGGTAAAATGATTGGCTGGAATCCAAAATGTATGACATCTCAGGAAAAAAAAAAAAGCACCAAAATGTGTGCTGCTTTTCGGTCTGGTTACTACTGTTTATGTCAGAACCGATGCCATTACCGGTACCCATCCCTAATCATATCATAGTTTAGTGGGTTTGATTCTATATACACTGTATGTTTATGCATATATGCAGACCAAATTTGAAGCTAGAAGTAAGGAACTCACCTTTTCTTCCATTTTCTCTTTATCCAAGTCACTTCTAGAGGTTGTTTCTCTCTTGCTGGGGCTCTAAAAAGATAAAGATTGCTTACTAATTTACTTGAACAAATTGGAAATGCGTTACCCTCACAAAAATATGGCAGGTCATAGTTAGAACATTTTTGGCACTTTGGAAATACCCTTTTTGCCAGATATTACCATTTTATCCACAGTCTGTGTCTTGGTTCCCTGAATCAATATGGGCTCGTCAGCATTAATATAAGGAAGTTCTTTGATCGTTTCCTTAGACTTTGTCAGACTTGTGACTGGAGGAGCAGGGGTAGAAGCAGCTGAAAAAGTTCTTCCATCAGCAGAGGTGACTGAAATTACTGGTGACCCTTCTTCCCCTACCCTCCCTTCCACCTTCTCTACATCCTGACTCACCTGAAGAGCAACAGTGGATGTTATAGTGATCTCAGTTCCTGGTTTATCACTGGCTTCTTCCATTTCTTGGTCACTTGTTGCACTTTGTCCTGCTGTGAGAGACTTAGAAATGTTGGAACTAACTGATACTGCTGGTTGAGCAGAACCAGAGGTACTTGTTTGCTGAAGAGTTTGCGCTCCTTTATCAGAAAGAGAAGACTGTGGTACACTTATCACAGTCGGGAACTCAAGATCTGTGGTGTCCAGTTCAAGATTTACTTTAATCTCACTGGAGTCTTGCAGACGCTGTTTTAGGCTCTTCAAACTAAAATATAAAGCAGAAAATCTTTGTTAGTTGCCCACAAAAAAACAAGTTTGTTTTCACAAAAATGGTTACACATAACATGTTACAAAACAGAGAAAGAAACAAATATCATTTCCAATTTTTTGTTCAGCAGTCATTAGCTTAAGACACATTTACATAAACTGCCTGTTTTGTTTCTCCACATCTTTGTGGAGGGAGGGGCTATACCTCCTCCCTCACAGAGAGAATTATGACCTTGTTTTCTGCTTAGCCATTACCTAAGGATTTACATCCCTGATAAGCAGAAGGAGCCTCACTATCTGTTTAACGTCTCCCATTACAATGGCCTTACTGTGTTAACTTTCCACATGCATGTAAAGTAGTGGCAGGAGTGCTCTTACTATGGTAAAGTGAGAAAGAGATATTACTATAACTAATGTGACATGATTAAATATGTGATTAATACATGAGAAAAGAAATCTGCCACCACAAGAGCCAGTTCATTATAAAAATTACAGAGAAAAAATAAAAAACAAAACAAAACAGGAAACCATATTTCACCATATGAGACTATTATTTTTTTGTCAAACCAAGAATCCGAAAACCCAAAATGTTTAGAACTGTTTTAACTTCTACAGGAGAAGCTGCTTCAGGAATTGTCGTATTAGAAAGAGAAATACTCACGTTTCAATACGTCGAACTTTTTTCCTGCATAGGGGATAAAAAAGGAGACGGTCTAAGGGTCTATTTTCATAACAAATAAATACGTAATTTATTCTAATAATTTATTCATCTCTTCCCCTATTTTAGTGAAAGTCATACCAAATTACATTCGTAGATAAATGTTCATTTGAAGCAATCTTCTCCAACACCTCTGTTACAAGACTAGATTCTGCCATCTCAATGTAAATCTGAGAATAGAAACAGTCATAAGAAAAGCACAAAGACAAAAAGGAAAACGTTTCTTAAAAAGTGATAGACATTAACAATTCTTATTGTTTTTTTTTTAACTCGTTCAAGCTTTAGTTTACCCAAGCAAAGGTGCAGTATGAACTACAAAATGACTGAACATGAAACACATACATAGATGGGAACATAGATGCAAAATGTATGCTATAGCGATCCTGACTGAAATACAGTGGGATGCAAAAGTTTGGGCAACCTTGTTAATAGTCATTATTTTCCTGTATAAATCGTTGGTTGTTACAATAAAAAATGTCAGTTAAATATATCATATAGGAGACACACACAGTGATATTTGAGAAGTGAAATGAAGTTTATTGGATTTACAGAAAGTGTGCAATAATTATTTAAACAAAATCAGGCAGGTGCATAAATTTGGGCACTGTTGTCATTTTATTGATTCCAAAACCTTTAGAACTAATTATTGGAACTCAAATTGGCTTGGTAAGCTTAGTGACCCCTGACCAAAATACACAGGTGAATCCAATAATGAGAAAGAGTATTTAGGGGGGTCAATTGTATGTTTCCTTCTTTTAATTTTCTCTGAAGAGTAGCAACATGGGGGTCTCAAAACAACTCTCAAATGACCTGAAGACAAAGATTGTTCACCATCATGGTTTAGGGGAAGGATACAGAAAGCTGTCTCAGAGATTTAAGCTGTCTGTTTCCACAGTTAGGAACATATTGAGAAAATGGAAGACCACAGGCTCAGTTCAAGTTAAGGCTCGAAGTGGCAGACCAAGAAAAATCTCAGACAGACAGAAGCGACGAATGGTGAGAACAGTCAAGAGTCAACCCACAGACCAGCACCAAAGACCTACAACATCATCTTGCAGCAGATGGAGTCACTGTGCATCGTTCAACCATTCAGCAAACTTTACACAAGGAGATGCTGTATGCGAGAGTGATGCAGAGGAAGTCTTTTCTCCGCCCACAGCACAAACAGAGCCGCTTGATGTTTGCTAAAGCACATTTGGAATAAGATGCTGTGGACTGATGAAAGTAAAATTGAGTTATTAGGGCATAACAAGGGGCGTTATGCATGGAGGAAAAAGAACACAGCATTCCAAGAAAAACACCTGCTACCTACAGTAAAATATGGTGGTGGTTCCATCATGCTGTGGGGCTGTGTGGCCAGTGCAGGGACTGGGAATCTTGTGAAAGTTGAGGGATACATGGATTCCACTCAGTATCAGCAGATTCTGGAGACCAATGTCCAGGAATCAGTGACAAAGCTGAAGCTGCGCCAGGGCTGGATCTTTCAGCAAGACAACGACCCGAAACACTGCTCAAAACCCACTAAGGCATTCATGCAGAGGAACAAGTACAACGTTCTGGAATGGCCATCTCAGTCCCCAGACCTGAATATTATTGAAAATCTGTCTTGGGTTAAAGAGAGCCGTCCATGCTCGGAAGCCATCAAACCTGAATGAACTAGAGATGTTTTGTAAAGAGGAATGGTCCAAAATACCTTCAACCACAATCCAGACTCTCATTGGAACCTACAGGAAGCGTTTAGAGGCTGTAATTTCTGCAACAGGCAGATCTACTAAATATTGATTTCATTTCTTTTTTTGTGGTGCCCAAATTTATGCACCTGCCTGATTTTGTTTAAACAATTTTTGCACACTTTCTGTATATACAATAAACTTCATTTCACTTCTCAAATATCACTGTGTGTGTCTCCTATATGATATATCTAACTGACATTTTTTATTGTAACAATCAACGATTTATACAGGAAAATAATGACTATTAACAAGGTTGCACAAACTTTTGCATCCCACTGCAAGTAAAACCGTTAATGAAAACATTAACGGTTAATTATTAACTGAATTAACATTAACTGAAAACAAGGGGCGGGGGGTGTAGGTGTGTGTCGTACCCTGTTAGCAAGTGGCAAGAATCTGACAAAAGAACCACTGAATGCCACCACTTGCATGACCATCATGATGAGGTCAACAGATGTCTCAGAGATCTCCACACAGATCAGCCGCTCCTCCAGAGCCTCTGAATCTGGAACATGCTGAAAAAACAATGAAAAGCCGCTGTTAAGGAACAGGAAATAGAAAAACTATGTTTTGGATGACTACAGATATAATTAAGTGATAGCTTACTTACAATATTGCTCCATTTCATCAGATTTCTGTACATGACCTCCTACAAAAAGATTTTAAAAGATATTGTCACACACATTGCTATTCTGTAAATTCAATTATCCAACTCATTATCAGGGTGTTATTGTGCAGTAAACAGCATACAGTTTTAGAAAATCTATAAATTATGTAACTATATCTAACATTTTGAAAAATTATTCAACCAAAATTGTAAAACACGTCCCTATCCCAAAGGTATAATTCAATTTTATTTTATTTATATAGCACCAAATCACAACAGCTGCCTCAAGGTGCTGTAGGGCAGCGGTCCCCAACCCCCGGGCCTCGGACCGGTACCGGTCCGTGAGTTGTTTGGTACCGGGCCGTGAGAGTTGAGGCTCAGGTGTGAAATGTATAGTTTTCAGGTTTTTATGTGTTATGAATAATTTTTCTTTTTTTCGGTACCGGTACTAGTTTTATTTTGTTGTATTTATCCGCGACACCTTAAAGGCTGGTCCATGAAAATATTGTCGGGCATAAACCGGTCCGTGGCGCAAAAAAGGTTGGAGACCGCTGCTGTAAGGTACATTGCATTACATTTTAAGGTATTTTTTAAGTCATAAATCAAAACATAACATCAAACAGCTTCACAATAGTACTGCAATGCGGGTAAAATTCGGGGCAGAGCATAACGAGTAAATGCACCGGATGAAAGTCAAACTAATCTGCGTCAAACGCCAAATTGAACAAGTGGGTTTTAGGTGCGATTTAAACAATTGAATGGACTCAGACGTAAGGACATCAACTGGGAGATTGTTCCAGAGTCCTCTTTGGGTGGAGCAATGTTTGGCACAGTGTGTTTTGGGGTTTAAAGGCCACAGAAACACGGTATCAAGAAAAAAATGTGTCTCAACTGTTCCGATACTCCTGACACACACCAGATCAACTAAAGGTTTTCGCTTAGGCAGCGGTTGTCCTTCTCTCCTGGATTGACTGGAGCTTCTGAGCTTTGACAAAAGTCCAGATAGGATAACCACATTTACTCAGGGCCTTCTTAATGTGATGTTCTTCTGCTTTCCTGGCTGCTTTGTCTGTGGGGATGGTGTTCGCTCTGTGTTGTAGTGTCCCAATGACACCTAATTAATCCCCAAGGATCGGGTCTCCCGACACAAACAGAGTAACATAGTGTACGCTGTCAAGTGCCAGGAGGATTGCCAGGATTTATAAATCGGGGAAACCATACAACCTCTGGCAAAGCGGATGACACCACACAGAAGAGCTACCTCTTCTGTGTGGTGTCATCTGCAGTTTATTTACACCTACAGGCCAGTGGACACTCTTTCAATGACGAGGATGTACACATCCTAGACAGGGAGGAACGCTGGTTTGAACGTGGAGTCAAGGAGGCCAGTTACGTGAAAAGGGAAAGACCATCTCTGAATCGAGGAGGCAGCCTAAGGGTACATCTTTTGCCATCTTACAATGCTGTGATTGCAGCTACTCCCCAACTCTCTGTGAATGGTACTCATGGCCATTGATCAGTGGGCTTTGATCAGTGGTTGTTGATCAATGGTCATGAGAATTTAATCATTTAATAATGATGAAGGAACCATTGTTCCTTAAGTGTGCTGGTTTCAGTCATTATGCTAATGTACTGTTTATAAGGTTGGGGAAACCTACAGTCAGCTGAGACTGAAGAAGTCACTTGGATGAGTGATGAAACGTTTCTCCCACTGAAAACGCTACATCGAGATGAACAGAATCAACTTGGAGATGGTTGTGAACTGGTTGCATTCAGGTTATAGTCCCATATAAAAGCAAAGTTATCAAGCATGTATGTTATTTTGTAGTTAAATTGAAATCCTGCAGGAACAAGATAAAAATTAATTTCAGATTCTGGCTGGACTCTAAAGGTAAGAAATTAAGGTGAATTTGTATGTTTATACTACGTAACAGTTAATCAGTGTATTATCATGAACAGACTGCATGTAATTGCTAACTTAAACCTATTAATTCACAAAATGATTCACTGACTCTGCCTTATAGTTTGTTTTTTTTTTGTTGCAGTCTTGATACACCAAAGATGGTAACTGACTGCGCGTGGCCACAGCCCTGGTCCCCACCTTTGAATTAACTACATCAAAGGCAACAAGACTGCAAGTTCATTGTACAAAGTCGCAATGGTTTTGGTTGTGCCAGTCTCCAACCACCATCTTCCCTATGATTTGATCATAGTTCATAGTTCAGCAAAATAACAGACCGAATAACACATCAAAGTTTTGGACGGAGCTTTCCATACCTCACTGGATCCAGGACGCATGTCCTGTAACACGAAGTGGATATTGAGTATCTGACCTCCGACAGAAATAGGATTTTTCCTGTGCAGTTGAACAAAATTGGTACAGGCATTCCAGTCACTGAAGTACACGAAGGCCTGTAGGTTAGGATAGAAAAAGCCTCAGATAAAAATAAAAGTTTTCAATAAAGCTTTGTTTGATTAAAAAAAACAAAAAAACAAATGAAGAATATTAAAATGTCTGTGCTTGTGTCAGTCTTCAGCATCTATTCCTCACCCTCCTCTGCAGTGATAAAACGATGATCTTGTAGTACAGAGTATGAAGATTATGAACAGGGAAATGGTGCCACACCAGCTTGGCGACATCCTCGTGTCTGTAGTTCCCTTCTGGCAAACCGGTCAGCATAATGTGGGGGAACACAGAGCCTGGAGGACGGTTTTTCTGCAGGACACAAAGTTAATTCAAAGAGGGGGGAAAAAAGCAGACGCAACACCTGCACATTGTGCTTCCTTTGATAAAGTCATTAACTATTTTATGCTATTTGATACTGAAAACCGTTCATGACATTTTACATAATTAAGCACAGATTTTCAGAGCGTAATGAACATGGGATAAAAATGCAGATTTCATATATATTCATATCAAAATGAGGAGCATGTAGTTTAGAACTGGAGATCAGGGGGTGATTGGACGCTTGACTCAAAAGCATTACAACATTATTTCTTTAGCAATTAAGCAGAAAAATGTCAAAAGTTGGTTCAAAGAGAAGCATTTGCAGATTCAGATTCAGCCAGTTTCTCCAAACTTCTAAGGGTGGTTATGCAAACAATTTTCAAACCACTTTCTTAGCCAAATGTTATATCTAGTTGGTAAACAATATCTTATCACAAGTAATTAAAATTACAATTTTCTTGTTACTTGACCAGATTGGAGAATTTTAAAAAAATGTGCTTACCTGTTTTTTTGTCAGCCGGACCGTCACAAAATCTATAAGTCAAAAATAAACAGTCACATGTAAGAGCCACTTATTTCCTACATTTTGAATCTGGAGTTAAGTTCTAGTTCAATTTGTTTTTCTCACCTGGGATGACAAACCAAGGAGATGTGGTAGGGAACAAAAAGGGATACGTTTTCATTGTAACCCAAAATGGTGAAGTGCTTCCCTGAGGAACACCAAAATTTGCTGTTGGGATTGTTGCCCCTTCAGCGACAACCTTGCTGTCCGGCAAAGCTTTCGCTGCCAGTCTAGGTGCTGCACAAAC